TCAAACTGACTGAAATATAAATCATGATATATGGGTCAATACACTTAAACACGAAGCAGAAACCAGAGTTATGGGAAAACCAGGATTGTCATTGCATATTACAGCGTATGACATGGTGGGAGTGTGTACAAATTATCAGCAGTCGCTGGCTCGTTAGCTGTTGTATATATCTGGTAGCGTCGCTTATGTGTGGGCTTCGAATATGAAGACAACGTTCAGCACCATCAATGTGGTGAAACCTATTGACGGTGCTGAACGTGACGATGCATGTAACGTAAATTTCAATTGACCACACTGTGATGACGCAAGCGATTTAAAATACGGAAAAGGGGTCCGAAGCATGCGCACTGCGTACACAATATGCTAATAACCTACTAATAACGAGCTTATGACGTAGACATATCTCATGAATATTATTTTGAAATTATTAATAGAAAGCATTTACCGGTCGTATAAAACGTATAAACGTATAATCGGTCTTGACCCTATCACTCTGTGGTTATTTAAAGACTGTAAACGCTATCTATCCTACTAAACTGGTCACCAAATTTAACAACTGATTTCTCGTTTTAAATATACAATCTAAATGAACTACGACAAGCCGCAATAGGTCTAGATTGTATACAGCGCCACCAGTGGCTGTTCCCGGCTCCATGCATCTAGCCCATGAGGCGAGCCCATAATGCACAATATTATGTAAAACTACAGGATCGCCTACAGAGGGCGGGCTTATTTTAATTTGTATCAAACAATTTATCGAGATTGTTTTTTATTTGTTTGCTTATAAATACATGTATATGATGACGTCATACGACGACAAAAGTTATTTGTTAGTTGACTGGATAAATAAATAACATGACAGCTGCACTCCAGTCATATACACCACGTGATTAACATCTCTTCTTAGCGGATTGCTCTATGACATATTTTAAAACAGATAACGGAAATTACGAATTCTGCCACTGATACAGCTAGGATGAAACTGTCCAGTAGTTTGCCTCCACCCTGTTGAAAAAAAAAGAAATTGAATGTTACTTTTCATTTCAATAAGCAATTATTACAAGCCAAGGCATATTGCGTTCGTTTTTTCCATTACGTACCCTATATGTTTCTGTACATGGAGGAGGTATAACATGGTGTAATTTCTTACTTTTTTATCTCGTGTGACTGCCACCATCATAACTACAGACAGGATGAAGCTGCATAATAGTGAGAGGACACATAGCACTCGGCAAGTCTTAATCTGTAAAACATTTCATAAATCCCAATTGCAGCATCTTAGAAATGCAGGATGGTGAACATATGTTTACGAAGTTCTTCGTCGTAGTTTTCAGATGATTATTTGCTGGATCATCATTATCGTTTGACTGAAACATATATCTACCCCTGAATGATTGAATAATGTTTCAGCGCATGCGCAATGCCAATGGCCGCAACTTACCGTTGTAGCGTTCTTTCTGTATGCCGCTAGGCACGCAATACCCCCTGTCAAACCAAACTACAGAAATGAGAAATTTACGAATTTAGTAAAATTATTCAAGCACAGTGTGGTTGGTATGATGTCACGGATCACGGTTCGTGTTGCCGGGTGAACCGACTTAAAGGGCGGTGGTCGTCGCACAGCGCGTGTTCAAATTCATGTAAATAAACAACGTATTTAAACATAAATATCTTGAATAGTAAGTGTCCCGAAATTTATCTGATATTGTATTTACTCGTAAGAGGGCGCTCTTCATAAGAACTCGGTCACCGGCGGAAAGTGGTATCTCAAATATAACACAACGCTCGTGTAAGAGGTATTCTCTCAGTTATTGGTTGTGGTTATTTTCTCAGTTTCCGAATTTTATTC